TTCGGAAATTCGGCAGAATGGATATTTTTTAAAATGACAGAGTTCTTAAAATTCCCAGAAAGACGGTAACCGACAGCGATTCGGTGTAATGATTAAAAGCGAACTGAAGAAAACAGCTTAGAATCCACTCAAAAAATCGCACAAAAACGGTAACAACCAGAACGTAAAAGGGGCTTTTCCGGATAACCGGAAATCTCCACACAACAAACTTTGATTGAAATGAGAGGGGGTCTGTTCCGGAGGAGTAAAGTACGGATCGTTGTCGAGCGAGAAGACCGACCCGCGCCCGGGTCCTGTCGTCCAGCGGGGGTCGAGTCGAGGTCACGTGTGTGCGTGTGTGTATGTCTTTCTCTCCTTCTGTCTGTCTGTCTGTCTGTCTGTTTGTGGCATCTTTGGGCAGTGCTGCGCGAGAGCCGCGACAAGAAGACTCCGATTATCGATCCTACGCTCCAGACCCTACCCGGGTGGACCACACACAGACACGCACAGGCAGCCGTGAAAAAAACATCTTGCACTGTTGAGAAGTGCTAATTTAACGTCTTTCTGGGCTTTTTACGCTTTCCGCAAAGGTGCTCTGCTAGCTGGCCCGTCCAGACCATTTTTCTGGACATATTTTTAGGGAATATTCTAATGTCCTTACCATACTTCCCGAAAACCCTTTGCGGTCCCTTTTTCTCCCGTTCTCAAAATTTTTAATTTTTTGCAAATTGCTGCTGCTAAGCGCTTTTCATTCAGCAAGGAATCTCTGCTAGCAACCCCACTGGGTTCCAACAAAATTCAAGAATATTCGGTCCCCACTTCCGCGCCCCTTCTTACTCCCTTTTTTGGCGTTTTAAAATATCCACAATTTTTTCCTAAATGGTTTCTAACCCGCCACAATTTTTCTCAAATAATTTCTGCAAGTTACCTTATCCTACTTATCAACTGAAGCCCGAAATTGGATGGAAAACTCTCAATTTGGCCGCTAGAAACCTCAAAAATCCTTTCAAGGTCCGAAAAATTGCTCCGCTGTCGTGAAAAACCCTCGGCCAGCTGACCGACCTCTTAGCCAATTACCACAAAAAACCGCGACACGGTGGTACAATTCCTCCAGAAGCCCCCCGGGGCACCCGTTCGACGAATAAAGCGTAGTTTTTGTGCGCGTTTCTGGGCGTGGAAAAACGAAGTGGAGGGCCGCTAGGTGGTCGATACAATCTTCGAGAACCCGCCGCTTCCCGGTTCCGGGAACCTAGTTTTGGAGGGAATTTGGGGGATTTATGGAAATACGGAAATGGGACTAGCTGAAATTTAGGGAAAATCGTCGAGGTTTGAAATTAATGTGAAAGGCTGGCCGGTGGGAGTCGGAGAGAGGGGAACAGAGCGAGAGAGACTGAGAGAGAGATAGGTAGAGAGAGACGGTGATGGAAAGCGCATTAGTGAGATACAGAAGCTCGAATACTAAATTAGAATATGACTTCAGCTAAAAAAACAAGGAGAGAGAGAGCGAGAGACATAAATTGCGAGAGAGAGAGAGAGAGAGACACATAGAGAACGAGTGACCAGGGTTTTTCAGATTACGTGAAATGTCAAATCATTTCCCGCTGTTTTCCGGATTAACCGGCAAAAAAATTCACCTCAAAATCCTAGGCTCCGGATTGATCCGGTCAAGCAATTTTTTTCAGGAATTTCAAACGGATTATCTGGCAACAAGATGTTAAGCAGGATCATGTAGAGACCAAAAATTAACTTTCCAAAAATGCGGCTACCCCGAGAAGTGGATTCCCCGGGGGAATCCCTGAATGGGAAGGTCGGGGGGGGGGCAGATACGCACAAATTGTGTCCACGGGAAATCAGGAACAACCCAATTAGGAGGGGAGGGGGAGACCATTTTTGGGATGTGAGCCTCGTGCCTCCAAAGCAGCAGCAATCCGAAATATATGTAAACAACGGAATTTGTGGTGAGTTTTGAACAGAAGAAAAGTTATGAGCCAGCCAGAAGGATAATTTTGAGTGTGTCACAAGGTTGAGAGTACGACTGGAAAGACATTTAAAGGGCCTGAGAAGCGTTATGCTCGAAAAAAAAAGTTGAAACCACAACAAAATTGAGCTTACGAAACTCCGCAAAAAAAAACAGGGGGTCAGGCAAGCTAGCAGAGATCATCGATGGTTTTTTGGCAAGCCGCCAGACCTCGAAATCCGCTGGAAAAGGTCATTTTAGAGTCAAACCAGACCTCCCTGACCTAATCTACGCACGAGTTCATCAATCCTACTCCCAAAGTTGGGCCGTCCTGCCTGGCTGCCGGCCACCCGCTGCAAGTCGGATGAACGGCCCGCGGGCGGTGGTGGAAGAGTTGGAGGAGGCTGTGGAGGAGATTGATGCGAGGTGGGTGGCCTTGAGATGCCCCCCTTCATGACACTACCACTACTCCTCACTTCCCCCAACATACACAAATGGACAGAGAGAGAGAGAGAGAGAGAGAGAGAGAGAGAGAGATACACGAATATACTTACGCGTGCATAAAACAGCCACTCTCCTTAACGAAGGAACGGCAAGGTGGCAGAAATCATGATCAAAAAAAGGAAATCGGTGACAATTTTAGTTTTAAAAGCGTTTTTTAGCTTGGAGATGTTTGCATTTTTTTATGCTTAGGCCTATGCTTACAAGGGAAGGGCACGCCCACAGGGTGGAGTTTCGAAAAACGCTCGCGGCTACCCCCGGGTAATCGACCACGGAGAACACGTTGCCGTTGTCCGATTTTGCTACGGAGGCCTGTGGACAGAGATACAGCACTTCCGGAAAATGATGATTTGCATGCGAAAATTATTATGCCTTGTTATTATTATTATTATTATTATTATGCCTTGTTAGATATAGGCTCAGGTTTACGCTTAGCCTAAGGTGACTTACAATTAGGCTTAGGCAGTTACCAAGGCCGGTAACAGAAACAAAAGAGGAACTAATACCACTCTTAAATTCCAGGCCCTTTAAATCAAACAAAGAAGTGCACAAAAATAACCCTCCGATGTTCATCAAAACCCTCCGGCCCGCATGGTCAACCCCTCCCCACGTGCCCGATTTATACAACCGTTTACGAGGTACCCGGGGAAGGTCGGCGGCCGTGAAAGCGACATCCAGATCAAAATCGAAAGCGAACCGAAATGGAAGCGCGTGGAAAACAAAGAACGAATTTAGACCTCCGGAACACGCAGCAGGCCAAAATAACGGGCTCGTGAGGAGGAGGATGGTGGACCCGGTGTCTTCTCCCATAAATTCGAGAAATGGCAGCGGCGGGAGAAAGAGGTTGAGGAAGAGAAGGAGGAGGAGGAGGATCGGTGCGAGCAGTGGCCTCGAAATTTGAATGTCGAGGTCGAGCGCCCGGGAAAAGGAATCGACGGTTCGCGGGTCGGGGGCGAGCCCTGGGTCGAGAAAAAAGTGTCTTGACACGGGAGTGACGTGATCCCTGAAAAATGGTACTTCCGAGCTTTTGTTTGAACAACAGCGAATCTCCTGGTGATTTTGCCCTATTTGCATATGAAATTCGGCTTAGGCTTAGGCTGGGCTTAGGCTTGGACTTAAGGCGTGGGATTGGGCATATTTGTGCATAGGCTTGGCTGAGGCTTCGGCTTAGTCTTAGGCGTAGGTTAGGCTTAGGTTCAGGCCTAGGCTTAGGCTTGGGCTGGGCTCTAGGCTTCGGTTAGACTGTGGATTAAGCTTATGCACGTTACAATTTGCGCTTGCAGTTTGTCACATATAACGCGTAAGTTTAAAGCTAGGTTCTTAAAAATAGTAATTAAAAACAAAGTAAGCTGTTAACCCTCCGAAATGACGTGTAAAGAATTTCCCCCAGATGACACATTTTTTGTAGCAAGGCCACTATGAGAATCAATTAAATATAGAGCGGAGGGGGGAAAGGAGCAAGACCTTGAGACTGGCAACAGTTTGGTACCACCTAGCTGCAGAACTATGAGACGCCAACAGAACGAGGCCGTACTTTTCAGATGCAACACCGAGTGAGGGACGAGAACTGTACTTTACAAAGTCCAACAGGACGGACGTGCATTTCTAACGTTTTGACAGGATTTTTACAGTAATTTTAAAGGTTAAAATTTTTTTTCATGGCGCTTTTTATCTTCTGTATTTTCGCATACGTTTTATTCAGTTTTATTAGCAACAGGATCCAGACGAAATTGTTGCAAGCAAACATTTGATTCATTTCCGTCCGGATCCGGGCCACATTTATGAACGGGAGGACAATCTTCAACGTTGTCGCATTCCTTAAACAAGAACTTAAGTTAGATTTTTTCGGTATAGTAGGATTATTCAAAATGGTGATATCTCGTAAGGTATATGTAGTAAAAATATCACCAATTTAGCTATGCAAAACGTTGTCCTGCAGCGGCAAACGACCCGTTCCCGCCGACATTTTGGCAGTTTTATGAGGCAATCATCATCCACGTGACAGTAATTTGAGCACTGAATTTTGTAGAATAAAAGCAATATAAAAAATACTTACGATTAAAGGTAGTAAAAAAGCCATTAACAAAGCCGAATATAACCTCACCTGTCTCTAGTTTTGTAAAGTAGGAATAAACTGAATTAATGTCTAGCTTGGTCCCCACAAAAACTTTCCACCTTCGAAAGCCTCCGCCGCATTGTCATCAATCATCGTCAAGGGCGCGATTTGGGAGGTTTGTCGATTTTCGGAGAAAACGACCCGAGGTATATAGGTAAATCGGCGTGATTTGGTGCATAACGTAGTCCAAGAAATCTTTGAAACCATTTTATCAACAACACACAAATTTTAGTAGGAGGAGAACAAAAACAACAATAAGATTTTGCACCTAGTAAAAGAGTACCCGAGACGGAAACGCGTGACCAGAAGTCAGAGATCCTTTTTGAGATCAAGTAATACAATTAAGGTTTAGTTACATTATTAACAGGGACTAAAATATACACTGTAATGCGTAGAGTTAATGTCGAGTGTACAACAAAATCGATACAATAAGGTTCGCAGCATTCACAAGATTTCGCCCTCCTCCATCTCGTCAAAGTCACAGTAGCCGGCCAGTGGCTCGAGGTAGTGGCCTGGGAGCTGAAAAAACACTGATGAATGTGGCTTGGTTAAGCTTAGGCTTAGGGTAAGCTTCGGGCTTATCTAGGAGTTTTCTTAGGCTTAGGCTTAGACTGGACCTGAGCTTGGGCTTCGGCTTATGCTTAGGATTCTTACTTAATACCTGCCTTATAGTTCTCAGGAGCAGCAATCTCCATGCTCAAAAGTGAAGGCAGCGATCGGCGTTGCTCGGGCGGGCTGCCCTGCACGCTGTCGCTGGTGCTGCTGTGGGCAAAGTTTTCCGTCGACGAAGCTGGCGACTGAAAAACAACAATATTCCCGTATTTCTAGGTAAGTTCCGAAATTATTATGACAAGAATCAAAACCGGAACATGCCAAATTATGTTAATTACGTCAATAACGAAAAAAAGTACCACTTCAATTGCGCTGTCAATCGATTGCCTCGATTTCTTCGGGATTCGCCAGGCTGCCGGGGCGGGTTGGTGCTCGATGGTGGCGATTTTTGTGGTGCGAACAGCTTGGATGTGCACTAAAATTATTCGTTTTGGCGAAGAAATCATTTCTGTGATTTTACAATCCCTTTAAAAAGCAAAAATTCACTTACCAGCTTGCTCCCGGAAGCGGCGCGTGGCCTCCTCAATTTTCTTGGCGTTCAGGTTTGGCGCTTCGACCCTCGGCAGTTTAGGAGCCTTCGGAGCCACGGAGAACTTGATGTCTTCTGCAAAAAACATGTAGATTATACCAGAAAAAGTTATTCTTACTAAGCGAAATCTCGTCCTCCTCCTGGGCGGCGGGCTTCATGAAGTTGGTGCGCGGTTCCTTGGTCTGTTCAGCTTCGGGCGTTTGATGGGGCTTTGCTTTTTCGGAGAGGCGACGCTGAAGAAAGAATCGTAAGTAAAAATCTACTAACGAAAATAGATCCAATGCTACGTTAAGCAAAAGTTTAGAATTACCTTGTACTCCTCAAAGTTCAGCTTCTTCGGCTTGGGAGCTTCTTGACGAGCAGGAGCGGGAGCAACTTCCGGAACAATTTGCTTAGAAACGGCAACATGCTCCGAGGCTTTTCGCTTTTTAGGCTCGGCCTCCTTTGCCCTGAACTTCAGCTTATTCTTCTCTTCCTTCCTCTCTTTGATCATTCTCTGTTCCGCCATCCGCCTCAACCCCTCCATCCGCTTCTCCTTGGCCCATTGCGCATCTTTCTGCCGCTCCATCTCGTACATTTTCTTGAGCGCCATCTGACGGTCTTCAGGGCTTCCGAGTCGGCTCGAGTCTGCGCACCAGGCGCCGGATCCCCTGCGGGCCTCCTTGGCGACGTGTCCGGCTTTTTGGGGCTTAACGTTAGCTTCCTTTGGCTTCACGTTTTCTTTTTCGGTTTCTTTCCGGTCTTTCTTTTCCTTGGAATGATTTGGATCTTCCATGGAATTTCTGTATTTCTTGGCCTCGCTCGATTTCTTGAGTTCCTTCCCATCCGGCTTGGAGCTTTCCGATTTCCTTACTTGCGGTTTCTTTCCTTCGGGTTTTTCGGGTTTTTCCGTGGGCTGCGCTTCCCGAACTTTGTGAGCTTCAACTGGCGTCGGCTCACGCTTGTATGTTGAAGCGACCTGAAGAATTGTATTGAGTTAAAAGGTACCAAACCCTCAAAAGCTCGGCAATTTTGATGAAAAACAAACTATGTTTGGCTTACCGGCTCCATCTCCTTGATCATCTGCGGTGGGGACATCATTTCCGGCAGGACGGAAGCTTCAATCATAGCGCCAAGCATTGCTTCAGTCGAGACCTCGGGCTTCGATGGAGAACTTGGCCGGCTTGGCTTGGGGCTCGGATTTGGCGAAGAGGTTGGCCGGCTTTGCCTCGGGCTCGGCTTCGGGCTTGGCTCGGCTGACTTCGCTAAAAAAACAACTAAAGCTGATTGAACAAGCCAGATACCGGGCAAATTCTAGCTAAATTTTGGATTCTTACCTGGCTTCAGCTTCTTTGAAGTCGCTGCGCTGATCGAGGCTGAGATGGCTTTGGCTCTTGCCAAGAGGGTAGCTTTGAGAAGGGCCTAAACATGTGATTTAGGCTTGGGCTTAGGTTTAACCTTAAGCTCATGCTCAGGCTGAGGTACAAGCTTAGGCAACGCTGAGCCTGGCTTAGCAAATGGTGCTTCGGCTGAGGCTTAGGCTGCGCAAAAAAAATCAAGATATCTGCCCGGTAAACGTACAGTATCTTCCGTGACCCGGGCTGAGCACGTTCTCTTGATCGACGGCTCTTCCCGAATTTCAGCCTCGGGTGCAGCGCGTTTCTTAAAATTTCAAAAATAATTGAAATGCTCATGTACATTTCAAAAATTTGAAAAACTCCAAAATATTCTGATTTACCTGAGCAACCACCTGCTCCTTGGGGTTCTCCTCAGCTTTCGGGCTGAGTGAAGCGCTAGGAACCGGGGTAGACGATGCGGCTGGGCTAAAATAATATATTTTTGTATTTTTAAGGTTTGTATACCTCGACAGTGGTAAACTCTTGCGCTCCGCACTTCTGCTGATATACTTCAAGAGGCCATTGTCGATCAATTTCTGTATTTTTAAGATGGCTGGCTTGGGGGCGCGTTTGTGGTGGGTGCAGAATTCGATGGCTCGGTCTGAAGACAATGGGTTTTACGGATATCTCAGTTTTCTACATACCTTTAAGCCACTTGACCTGGAGCGTCGGGTGAAGCTCCTTGGCAACAAGTTCAGCCGATAGCTAAAAAACAGCGTTTTAGATTCTGCTTTCGCTTAAAATTTTAAAATTAAATTTTATGCCTAAAAATATACTCGGCAACACCCCACCTTTTATAAAAAGAACGTGTTTTTCAACGTACCTCTTTTCCTGACCATAGGCAAACGTGGAAAACGGCCATAGCGGCAAGCTTTCGCTGGTCGTAGCGGATCATCCAGTCCGTGTAGGTTAGCCTAAACATTCATTATTTCTGAATAAGCTCTTAGTATAAAATTGTGTTTAAAAGCTTCGCCAAGAAAGTTATAGCTTACATATCAGCCACATATAAGTAAGCCGCCTCGGTCAGGGCGGAGCTCATGCCGAGGTTTTGAATTTTCTGGACAGCAATAGGCTGTGGCAGTTCGACGTTGATGTCGAAGGCTAAAAAAAATAAGATTTATATAGTCAAAAATTTTTATAAGATCGAAAATATATTCAAAAAAATTTCGTTGATAATTATTTTAAAAGTCATCGCTTACCAAGGGACTGCAACACCACACTCTCAAAGAACTCAATACGGTGTGCAGCGTCGTCATAATACTAAAAACAATCAATCTTAAAATCGGTCTATCAGAAAATTGTTTCTTTTGTTTTCTATGGTCTACCCCAGCTACCGTACCTCGTCAGGGATTTGCGGCTTGGTCGGGAAACGAAGCGACCACCAGGCTTTGACGACTTGGCGAAGTGACCTCTGGCAATCCTCGGCTTTAGCGGTCATTAGCATTGCGCCGGCACAAACGTCCTGAAACGCGTTTTTATTAAATTTGTTGTCACCACCCATTAAAAATTCCGTCAGCCCTTATTTTATTAAAAATAAAAACTCAAATTAACCTACCCTGTAGTCTAGGTCCTGGAACGAGTGAAGCGTAAAGACACGATTCACGTGCATCAGCGCGGCGCAAGCGCATAGCATTGAACTGTAAAGACGGATTGAGGTGGAATATTTACGAAATTTAACTACTAACTACAATTTAGTAAGATTAAGATTGTTTAATAGTGCTTTATAACCTACACCTTCCGCCACTTCTCAGTGAATCCTTGATTCAGACGCTCGGTGAGCAGATGCATGAATTGGCCGGCACTCTGGCGATTGTGCAGCTCCTGCTCGTAGCTCATATGGCGGCGCGACGGAGACTGAAATAATTTAAATGGTAGGTATAAAAATGCTATAGATGAAATAAAAATGCATGTGTAAGTATCGATTATATCGCGATCTTTTTATTTAGGTTGAATATTTGGCTATTCAGCCGTACTTTCTAATATATAATTTTATAAAAATAAATAAATTAGTTAATGAAAATAAGTAAAATAAGGGTAATTAAAAGTATATCTTTAAAGTCGACTTACCATTTCATAGATCTCTTTCCAGGAGAGGAACCACTTCGGCACCGGGACCTCAATCGCGGGAAGAGAGTTATCGAATTCCATGTTGCTGAAATATATTGACGTCATATAAGATCTAACGATCAAAATTATCAAATTGAATGAAATAAGAAATAAATACAGATTTAATAGATGACTTAAGTCAAGAATGAGTTCATAATGCAATCTCAAATGGTGAAACCTAGACAGGAAACCTGTGGAAAAGTTGTGCAACGATATTTCAATGGTGAAAGGAAATCGAATTCAAAGGAAATTAAGCGGAAGAAGTGGTGGTTGTGACCTGGATGATTATTCTTATCAATAAACAGATGACCGACGCACTAATGGTACATCTGCAAGTTCACAAATTCCGTATCAATCGGATCCACTGGTTTAGGCCAGGATTTTCTGGGGGGCTGGGGAACCGGGGATCTAAGCTCATTAAGGAGAGGGCTGGCAGACTCTGAACCTATCTGCTTGGGACGCTTCAGGGCAGGGTCACATCTGCTGCCTGACTGCTCTCACGTCTCGCACTAATAATCACTGGGAAAATACACATGAAATGTCTATTTTTATATTCGTTTTATTTAGCTTGTAGATAGGAAAGCTATAGTTTATTCGCCACAAAACACAAAAACAATAAATAGGATACATCGAACCTGTTTTATTTGGTGTCGGATGGCGTGTATCTAACCATGTCAACTAAAAAATTGCCATAATCCACCAATGGAGTATTTGGGGTCGCTAATAATACAGAAATAGCACGCATTTTCGTTTCTACTTCCGATAGAATGGCTGCACGAGGAGCACGGACGTATGCAGGCTTATAGATGGGGATCGGCAAGGTTAGGTTGTCCGTCTCCACTGCAGTTTTCTGTTATAATGCTCAATCTTTTGCAATCGACGCATCTATTCATATTTTGTAAAAAAAAGCTGTTTCAAAGAAAACTCACGCCATCGTCACTGATTTCTTCAATTGCGACTTTTTCGAGAAGGGAAAAACGTGCCCATTCTCGTCCTCGTACAAGAACACATAGTTTTTGCCGCGTATGGACTGGGTCAAAGGCGGAACCGGCCCGTACATATTCGTTAGTTGTAGAAATGAAGTAAAAAAGCCAGTCTCGTCGGTATATTCTTTTCCGCCCAATGGTTCCGGCACACTCTTAACGACTTTGCAACTTTGCGCGCTTGCCGCGACCGGCGGAAGAGGTCCCGGTTTGTTTGTTTTGACAGGTTCTTCTTTGCCACCGTCAACCTCATCGACGCATCTATAACAAGCTAAATAAAACGAATATAAAAATAGACATTTCATGTGTATTTTCCCAGTGATTATTAGTGCGAGACGTGAGAGCAGTCAGGCAGCAGATGTGACCCTGCCCCGAAGCGTCCCAAGCAGATAGGTTCAGAGTCTGCCAGCCCTCTCCTTAATGAGCTTAGATCCCCGGTTCCCCAGCCCCCCAGAAAATCCTGGCCTAAACCTCGGCGTCGGTATCAATCCGCCCAAAAACCCCAAGATCGATAAGGCCTTCCCGGGATCAAGGTAATGGGCACTAATGAAAGGCTTGTTTTCGTTTTGCGTAATTTTGTAAATTTAATCGACTGTTACGTCCGTCGTCCAATAGAAGAACGATACGAGTAGAATAAGACCTAGCTATGCAAATCATAGATATTGAACCAAAAATGATAAAAATTCCAAAATGAGAAATTCTCGTCGCCAAGGAAATTATGGTTTTTCCCATGAAATTAAAATGCAAACTATGAAAGAAACAAAGCAAGAATGCCAAAAATAAACTACGCTTAAAGTTATATAAAGCCGGTTTTGTCACGCTATGTAACACTATATGAAATACAGACCCCGCCAAGACTTCCACCGCTGTAAAACTAGGAAAAAATGAAAATATAAAGAAAGGATGTTATAGATAAAGAAAAAAATTATCCAAAATTGGCCAAGGCAAGGGCAGCTCGGAAGTCAGGACAAGTAATTGTGAAGTGGTTGTTTCGAAGTCAGGTGGCATGCCTTTGACAGATGACATGGACGCACTAATGATATGGCTTCAGGGTAGCCGATTTCCATATAAATCCGCGACAGCCTTTAAAAGCTATATATCTTTTCTAATCAACCCACTATTGGTCAAAAAACACCCATGAATGAAAACCACTGCTTGAGGTGTTAAGCCTTTCCGGGAATTTTGCTTCCTCGGCAAAGAGCCGGGTGCCAAAAGGTTTAAAGGGCACGTTCAGGGACGTTTTTTTTAAAAAAAGCAAAGGCTTTTGCCGCGGCCGGGGGGTCGAACCCGGGCCCCCCCGCTCGGGAGGCGCGGATGGATGCCAGTCAGCCACAGCTACAACCTGGCGAGGGGGCGAGGGGTGCCCCACCCCGCACTCGGTTGTTTTTGCGCGCTCCGTTGCGCGACAAAATGCGCGGGACCGGAGACTGGCAGGGATTCGGTCCCGCGCATTTCGGGGAGCGCCGGCCAAATGCGCGGGACTTGCGAATGCGCGGGACTTTGCGCGGCTCTCGCCGTCAACTGGCCCAGGGGCGCTTTTCCTCCTTTTAAAGCTCTTATATTACTTATTAAACCTGCGTTAGGAGCAGGTATTACTGTGAGTAGATGGAGCATGAGTAGCTATACATTTATACCGGGGTAATGATACAAAAACAGTTTTAAAAGATTGTTTTCCGCAAGAAGAGTTGAGGTGCTGTCGATGAACCTAAACTTGTCCTTGGTATTTTAAAACTAGCTTTTTATAACTGTTGACTCACCTTGTTCCAAGTGAGTGCCTACGAATTGAGCTAAATCCTATTTATTTTGTTAGCTAACTTGCTAGATAGATTCAGACTTACAGTATTAGTTCGACTTACGCTCGCATCACTTACGTTTTTGACTGACCGTGGTCATTTCGTTGAAGAGATAGTTGTTTCTACCAGCTTCTTTGCCTAAATTCTCCCGATAACAATAATAAATCAGACTTACTTCTCATCATACGCGTTTCTTCTTGTAATTATGCCATATGCCACATATTACCGACACCGCGCCCTCTGACGGTGCATTCACTGAGAACTGAGAGTGAAGTTTTGTTGAAAAAATAAAAAAACTTGCCGAAGCTTCACCATGGAGCGTTTGACATCAAAGTATCAGCATTTGCATATCCTAAATTCCCTGAAAATGATAAATAGCCTCGCCTGATACCTCCGACCTTCAGTGCAAAAAACAGCGTTGGTTCCAGGAAAGAAACAAGTTTCTATATATAAATCTAAATTTAACGAAAATTCGCTAAATGCCTCGAGTTTTTCATTCAGTACGTTTAGAAACCATGCACGAAATGCGCGGGACCGCGCATGCTCCTTTTCGTGACTGATTGCGCGACAGAAAGCGCGGTCCCGCGCATTCCGCCGCGCCAGGCTCGCGCATTTTCCGAGAGCCGCGCATGGGGCCGCGCAAGCCCAACTCCCGCGCAACGGACCGCGCGAAAACAACCGAGCAAAGGAGGGGAATGGCCTGTCACAGCACGGGCAGGCAGTGCGCGCGGTCGCTACGTCCATAGGGTGTACACGTTGGGACGAGTACACGGCCCCTCCCTGAACGTGCGCTTTAAGGCAGATATTTATACTCGACGACATCAAAATTAACCATAAATGTAAAAAAAACCATTGAAAATTGTAAATTGCGCACAATTAATCGATTAGATTCAACATCCGATCCAAAACCAAAATTTCGGGCTGCCAAAATCGACATCCAGATGCAATCTCGATGCGCGATCAGTGCCTCAAAAGCGAAAGGGCTTCTAGCCAGATGGACAAAAGCCATGAATCACTTCAAAGCGATCAAAATAAAAGGAAACGAGTTGAAAGCGGGTTTTGCCTTGTAAAATCCCCCCCCTCTCTCTCTCTCTCTCTCTCTCTCTCTCTCTTTCTCTCTCTCGCTCTCATTCTCTCTGTACAACCGTGCATTCATGTGTATTCAGAAATCAATAATAAGATAAGTTATTAACAATTTATTCAACACAGAATTACATAATTAAGAAATTTCCACGAAACCTAAAAGCGTCAAGTCATTACAAATATTACCTTTCTGTCCTTTGGAGCAAAGAGTTGCTTGACGTCCAGACTACACCCAAAACCGGGAGATCGCCTCCTTCTCCGCTGTTTCTTACAACCACTGGGCCCTAGTATGCAAAATTTCAACGCAATTTGACTTGAAATCAGCGCAGTTTAATGTTGCGACTAGCCTCCCAATTACCTGGCAACCCGGCGTCATATTCGTCTTTTCTTCTCCTGCCCGCTTCAGTCATACCTGAAAATGGTTTCTTCGTAAATTTCATTTTTTTCAACACCTCTCCCATCTCCATCCACATTTGAATCAAGTTGTTGCATCCGTTGGCGATAATTCTCGACATTGGCTGAATTTTTTTCCTGGCAATTAGTAAATTTTTGGATCACCTGGCCGACTCGGGTCATAATAAAGCATTCGGTCTGATTTTGGGACGCCTAGTTTCGACAGAGATCGGCCGGAAACGGAGATGCGTTGTCGGTAATTGTGTTTTCTTACGAGCCAAGTCGACCTCCTTCGGCACAGCGTCGAAAGCCCTTCGCATCTGAATTGGCGGTGTCAAAAGTTTATTAGAGGATTAGATTAAAACAGGTATTTTTCTTAAAAAACGTCGGTTCGGTCTGAGTGTTTCTGTAAACAGACCTCCGATTCGGTGTATCCTTCAAATTCCGGCGGTAACGGCATGCGGTTCCACTCCCACCACTCCAGCACCTCGTGCCGTCCGCCTAAACTTATTTGAAACAACTTGAAATAAAATCCCTATTTAAGAAAGTGATATAAACTCGCCAAGCCTCGCTTGTATCTCTGCAATTCGACCGGGTTCCACTAAAAATTCAGAAGAAGTCGACTCCAAAAACTCGAATGCCGAGTGGTTGTTGCTGTGGATTAATTCCTGCTTGTCCATGTTCTGGCCCAACAAGGCGATCTCTCGGAACGAATGGGGCATCATGTCGCCACGGAATGGCTGACCCCGAGCGGCGGCGGGGTTGCACCTGAAGCGCACAGTTCCTTGATGAAATTGTCCCTGATAGCTAGCCTAATAAAGCCCCATGTGCTCTTGCCGAATTTGAACGCTTCTTAAACCGGTCACCCTTTTGTTTCACGTGCAAACAGGAACATAACATATTTTTTTTGTCATTTTTCGAAACCTACACCTCGTTGCGATTGATCGTAGGATGGTGGCGGAACAGCTTGGGCGTCCTCGTAGGATGGCGGGTCTGGGTCTGAACGACCCAAATTTTTGGGTGGACTGAAATGAAAATGATTGATTTTGCATAACCCTTTGCAGCTCTATCTCAAATCTCCAACCGTATAGACCAGCACGACCCCGTGCTCGCTGCCTAGCCGATGCTACTTCCTGACGATCCACTCGCTGCCGCGTCCGGCTCCTTCGTTGGTGGATGTCCTCGTTCACCGACCGGCCTATTCAAGCAAAATTTGGGGATGTAAAGTGTAGCCTCGCGTAGTGCGACCGACCCAAACCCACGATTTCCGGGTACCATCAGATCGGGTGATGGGGGCGACCGACGCCTGCTAGGTCTCAGAACGCCCTCCTCATCCTCCACCTCGTCCTCGGCCGGCGGGTGCAATGAGCGATAGGAGGGAGGATCTAGAGGTTCAGCATCAAGCTCACCGATCAAGGAAAATGAGCCCGAATCGGTTGTCGAAAGGACTTACGCCGGTCGGCAACATCACCTCCACCAATTCGATTAGATGGCCCGGGTTCATCATCGGATCGGACGTCTAATCACCAAGTCAGAGAGCTTCAAAACTGAAGCCCCTACCTCGACCTGGCCCTCCAACCCGGAAAGGGATATGGTTGGCGAAGCAAACGACGAAAAGAATCAGAAGAAGTAAGGGAGGCGGCCGCATTTTCTAAGAACACTGTCTATGAGCGCCTATAGGGCTGAGAATTTATAGTGCGGAAAGCGACGCATATTATATTTTTCGAGGAGAATTAATGAACAAAACGAATGACGTCGACGTCGCCAAAGCGAACGCCTGCGATGAATATTTCAGGGGGTTTGGTAAGACTGTATACAGCCTAGCCGACCCCAACTTTTGTAACTCGGCTCTTCCCTGGCCTACCGGGATGTAAAGTATATTGAAATGTTCGTCTGGGTCTGTCGAACGTTTTGGCATACTTTACCGGCATGTGGCACAATGGGAAAACGAGATACAATAAATGAGGGTCGATCGGGTGGAAGGGGTATCTGCAGTTTAGCAGAGGCTAATTGTCGATCTATAATTCAAATCAGATATTTCGAGTCTCATACAATTCGTTCCGCTTCCTATGCGAATAAAATTCTTGGTACTATTCAAGTTGGGGGGGGGGGCAAAATTTTTTTTGGGTCATTTCTAGGCTACTTGGTCAGTTTTTCTCTGGCTTAGACTTAGCTTAGCTTAGTATTGGCTTGATTTAGGCCTAGCTTAGCTTAGCCTAGGTTTAGGGTTAGCTGAGGCCTAGCTTAACCTAGCCTTAGGCTTAGGCTTAGCCGAAGTCTTAGCACCTTGTTCTTAGGTGGCTTCGTCACAGCTCCACTGCTTTTGGCTTCAGCTTAGCTTTGTTCAAGCTCAATTTAACTGTGCTTCGGTTTAGCTTAGCTTAGGAGTTGACTATTGCGCTGAATTAGCTGCGAAAAACGGTTCAAGTAGCCCAAAAATGACCTAAAAAAATTTTGCCGCCCCCCAACTTGAATAGTACCAAATTCTTTGTTATTTTGCTCTCTCTCTCAACCCAAATATGTAACATTTTGGGTGCCGATAAGCTGCCCCTTCACCCGCGGACCCACTGATCGACGCTCGTTCTTCCGGCGTCAGAGCATCCCGTAAAAACCCCGGATCAAATCCCAACCGTGATTGCACGAATTGACGCCATATTCCGCGGAGATCGGCGCGAAATGTTGTTTCTATAGATATCCATTCATAGCCACCCGCCCGCGCCAAAAAGGCCTTGCAAACGCGCGCGAGAGCGAGCGGTGTGAGCCACACACGCCACGGGGAGCGCACGCCGAAACGGGGTTGCCCGACTTGACAATTGATTATCATCACCTCCTATTCACTCTTTCGACCCGCGGCATGAAAACCTTCCCGTTCACACACCGAGTCTCGCTTTCACCCAGTGTCTATTTTGGTTTGAGCGCTTTTTAGCAAAGGATTCACACTAAATATACCTTTTTGTGGATTTTGTGGTGGAGCACCATCCTCTAACCTTTCCTTGAAAAACAAAGCGTTATTTTTTTCGATGCTTGCTTTATAATCCCTGCTTTTGTGTTTTCAACGTTCCCGACGCTGATAGTTGGCCATTCATAAATGTTTTAGCAAATCTGTAACTAAATTTTATTTATTCTTTAGGGAAACAGTTTTTGTAAACAAAAAAAAAAATAGCGGTCATGTGTTCCGAGTGACAACTCAAACGAAATTTCGTCGATGGGTGTCAAGGTACTCGGCTTCGACTATTTCTAGAAACTTAGAACTTTTTTCATGCTTGATCCCTCTTCTATATAATTGTGTTTTCCCTGTCACTTCATAATCGTAAAGCCGACCCTCTAATAGCGCGCGAGCCCTTTTTCCGCCCGGTTTCCCGCATTATTTTGGGCCGTAACCCCGGACGGTTGGCTGTTTCTCTGCGCCCAGAGATCCCAACACAAACCCCCTCGCCCCGGAGGCAGGTGTTCGAATAGCTTTTCCGGGCTAGCTGCCCATCCTCCACATCCTCGCACTCTCTCCCCCATCAGCGCACAAACCCTGGGCCCCCCTCCGGCTACAAACTAGAAGCTGGGCCGCTTGAGCATGGGGGCCCAACAGCTGAAGTTTCGATATTGATGCCGACAGCCAGCCCCAAATATCTTTTTCCTTTTATTTTTGCACCAGCTGAAAATAGTATGATGCCGGCAGCCTGGCAACAAAAATTTCCCCCGCTTTCCCATGCCCTGAAAACCATGGGAACCTGCCTCCAATTTTAAATGTTGTCGATGATACGGGGGTGATTTCGTTATTACAAACGTGCTATTTTGTATTTTTATCCGGCGCCCGTCTAACATAGATATAGATCAGCAAAATTATTTTTGAGACCACAGCGCGGTTCACCCCGAGAATAGTGAGAAAAATATATTTCCCCAAAGCCGACACGCAACTGATCATCAACAAAGGTCGGGGGGGCTGGGAATCAACCCTCTCTCTTTTTTTTGCTACCACACACATTTTTGTCATTGTTTTCCCCCGCACGCGTTCGCTGTCTCTGCAAAAGGCATACAGACTGTATGGTTTTTAATGGCCTCCAGAATTGCGTCTATTTTTGCGCCTCACTTCCACCATGTCCACTCACTCGCTGGGGCACTACTATTTTGACAACTTACTCGAGTACCCGCCAAAATAATCCCCCGGGTCCGCCTCGCGCGCGATTGGCTCGGCTATTTGTTCGGTAAATATGGATCAGCGTGGAAATGTTTGTGGGAGAAGCGGGGGCCAGGCGAGGGCCGACAACTGGCCCTGCGGAACTCGTCTCATTTCCCCCTCATCAACATCGTTGATTGCGGCGCTGAATCGGCGACGGCGGGCTGTTCTTTGATATATTTGAGGGGCGCTTCGCATTTGACCTTTTCATTCCTGCCCCAATGAACCGGAAAAGCTTTTTTCCTTTTGGGCCGAGAAATTCTTTCCTTTATTCGCCTTTACGTTTCTGATATTTCTCGCCGTTTCATTCTATTTCTCATTTTCCAGGTCTCGAATGCGATGCCCGAAAATCAAAATGAAGATTCGATACCGCTAGCTCCCGGCATCGCCACCTTCAGCCTGGGAGAACCTTCAAAGTAAGTAATAACCTTTTAAGATTTTTAAGGCGCCTAAATTTTTATGACTGCGCATTTTTTGGCATAGCGCATCTATTTTTCGCAGGGTAACCTGATACCGATCGTTAGGCGCCCCGGGGGCTTGCCAGCTTTTTCTTCCTTTCTCTAAGCCAGCCCTTTGTGCGTCAAAAGCCCATATAGTTGTTTTGATGCTTGTTTTCTTATACATTTAATTTGGTTCCAGAGGTGACGATTCTAACAATGCTCCGACCTCGTCGTCAGCTGTGAATTCGGACAATGAGAACGGGCCGATGATTCCCGACGCGATAGCCCCGCCGGATTTGGTTGGTTTTAGTCAGAATTTACTTAATTTGCACTTAGAATCAGGCCAAGAAGCCGAAGAAGAGCGTCTCCACCTATTACAAGAAACAAAACGAGTTGCTGGAGAATTTTCAAAAGGACACTGAGCAGATCCAGGTATTTGTTGGAGGTTATCTCTTGATCTCGCGCTAATTCGGACTTGGCGAGAGAGGCAGAGACCCTAGGCACCCTGCCCTTTCCACAAATATTTTCCTTATTTAGGTGTTTCGAAAAACGCGATTCACGTCGACGTGTAGCGATGAACCCAGCAATAGCAATGGTAATGGCACCGAAGTTGTTGACGAGACCGCCGAGCCCGGCGCTCCTTTGCTGCGACAATTGGTACCATTTTCATTTGTTCATCAAAAAACATTTTCTTAGTCTGGCGACAACGATCTCGAAACTTGTCGGAACGGCTCGAAGAAATCGCTAAAGAAGCAGCGCTCGGATTCTTTGCAGGAGATGATGTATGGTTTCAATTTAACACTGTATCTTCTGATTTAGCGACAAAAACCAAGCAGCTCAGAAGCAAAGTCAAAGCGAGTCGAGGGCGGCCGGCAGGCTTTCTTTCGTCACGCTGCTGATCAACGTTTCGTTGATGATCGCTAAGGTATATTTTTCTATGAAAGAAACCTATTCTTAGGCTGTCGCCTCTTACCTCTCCGGCTCGATGTCCATTTTGTCGTCGTTAGCTGATTCAGTGGTTGATATCACTACGGGCATGGCTTGCAATTAATATATTTCATTTTTCGTTATAGGTCTCGTTATATTCGGTACTAGCCGCATGATCAGGAAGCGGGATCCCTACTTGTACCCCCGCGGACGTACTCGCTTGGAACCGCTGGCTTTGGTATTTTTGATACCTTGGGGTTTAATATCCTTTTAGATCGTCATTTCAACTGTGATGGGCATCGCCTCGGTGATGCTGATCTACGAGTCGGTGAAGCGGGTCATCACAAATGACGTAAGAAAATTTTCTATGGCGTCGACGCAATTCATCTAGGTAAAACTTGACGTGGACGCCGTCTCGGCTGGTATTATGGTGGCCACGATTTGCGTCAAGTTCACGCTGATGTGCGTCTGTAGACAGTGGGTTTTTCATGAAAACGAGAAAATGCTTTCGTTTGTAGGTACGACGACCCGTCAATCAATGTGCTAGCGATGGACCATCGAAACGACTGCCTGTCCAATTCGGTGGCTCTCGTCTGCGCTGCTCTGGCTTCATAGTACGTTTTGAAGTTTAAGCTTTGAAACTTTATATTTTGCTATAACTCGCTTTTTTCAGCTTTGGACCTTCTGAACCGCTCTGGTGGAACGTCGATCCGTTGGGCGCCATCATCGTCTCGATCTACATCGCATATACTTGGTATTTTCGTTGTAAAATGCGTATTGTCTCTTTTTTTAGGTTTTCTACTGGCAAAGAGCACACTTCGATGTTGTCGGGAAAGACAGCCGATCCGGATTTCATCAATCGCATTATCAAGGTAATAACAAGCTGGCAAAAATTTATTGAATTCCCTAGGTGGCGCTCGACCACGACAACCGCGTAAATGGCATCGACACGGTTTATGTCTACCATTGGGGCACCAAATTCTTGGTTGAGGTTGTGTATTTAATTTTTCTTCGTAATGTCGTAATTTCTAGGTCCACATCATCCTCGACCCGGAGATGCTGCTCCGCGATGCTCACGATATTTCTGAGAGTTTACAGGTCAACATTGAGAGCTTACCAGAGGTAAGAACTTTTTTTGCTGCGTTTCTAACCCTCAATTTTCCAGGTGGAACGCGCCTTCGTCCACACCGATTACGAGTCTGATCACCAGCCCGGCGACGAGCACAAAGTAGTCTGATCCTCAGCATTTTCACCCCTCAAAACCCCGTTGATTTTCGTTATTTTTAAGCGCACCCTCGCCCCCCAATTTCTCGATTTGCATTTATCTCGCCATGTTGCTCGATTTGTTGTGTGCGTGCTGTTATGCAGTGGAATGTAGTGCTCCCTCGCCCGCCAATTTAATTTCATAGTTAATGGATTCGTAATAAACACACGTTTCTTTATTGCTGCTGCGGTTGGCACAAGAAGCACAGATGAGATCCCCGTATTTCAATAAGCGAAAGCGGAAAAAATGGGTGTTCTAGAAGGACTTTGTAAAGTTTTTGGCCCCAACTTTTCGAAATAGGTAGTAAGTACAAAAATTTTTGATTCCTTCCAATAATATCCTTTTAGATATGATCCAACAACACATTTGTAGCACACATTATAGAGTATTGCACCTTGCTGATTTCCTGAGCGAGCTCGCGGCCAGCCGCCTGGCGTTCTTGCGTTGACTTGGCCGCTTTGAAATCGGCGATCTATTTTTTGTCATAAGCCGTTATGATTTTTGACTTACGGCATCAAAAACGGCGGCCATCTCCCTGCCGCTGTAGCTGTCCTTGTCGGATACCGAAAACAGGACGTGCCGACTCTGCGGGGCGCGCTTCATCCCGCGCGGGTTGATGAAGCAGCGCTCCACGCTGAAAATGAGCGATTCAGTTATAGGAGTATGTTTTTTATTTTTGTAGATTAGAGATATTTGAGAATTACAAAGGCTTATATTTTTACCTATTAAAATTGTTTTGTTTATAGCTATTTCTAGGTTCGATGGATTAAAGCTAAATTTTCTTAAAATTTTTCTGCTACTTTAGTTTTTAAATTTATACATTTGCTGTGGTGATCTTTTTCTTTATATTAAAGTTATTGCCTTACCCCATAATCCTCTCGTTGATCGCGTGAACGTGGCGCGGATCGTACGGATTCTGATCAAAAGCCTGCCTGCCCAGCGTGATGGTTTTGTTGAATTGCAGGGCGACGTTGTAGAATTCCTATTTTTCGTTGTTTTTTGAGGATTCCTGCAAATTACAGTAGTAGCCGCGGTAAAGTGCGTCAATTGTTGCTTGGCGTCGTCGATGGCTTCCTTGAAGTAGTAGAGCGGTCCCATGGCTTGCCGGACATCCGGGATGTAGTCTTTCAAGATCGACACTGCCAAATCGGTGACGTTGAAGGGGAGGATGACCTAGAAATTGTTGTTTGATTCATACAAATGCTTTAAAGGGATGCCCGACCTTTTCGGGACTCAAAAAGCAAAAACCATGCCGCGGGCGGGGGTCGAACCCGGGACCCCCGTTTTGTAGGCCCAGATGCTATCCATTAGGCCATAGTGGCAAGCCATTGGGTGAGATGGGGACGCCACAAGAGGGAAAGGTGTCCGAATTTTGTGCGGCACTGGCGCCTCATTGCCACACAAAATTCCCGCGTCATTTGTACTGCCCGGAATACATAACTATAGGTTTGCCACCAAAACCTTGGGTATCCCTTTAACAAGGCTTTTTGTAGCATAAACGCTTACCTCATCAGCAAATCTTCTTGCTAGCTCGGCCCAGACTTGCCCAGTTGCTCGATGAGCCTAAAAAATTGATGATATTTTGCTGTTGCTGCATTTCCGGTTCGATTTTGCTAATTTTGGCGCCTTTAGTACGTTTACGATAGGTTTTGCTGGGTTTGCAGAAGGATCCGTAGCCAGCCTACCGCAAAACCATCCGGATCGATCAGATTCTCGTTGACGAACGGCGTCTCGTACATCGAGTGGTAGAGCGCGTAGTCTTTCCGCGAGATGTTCTAGGGGTATTCATAATCTATATCTGACCGTCGCGGGCACCTTGTAGGAAAAATCAATGACCGGAACTCCAGCAAAATTCAGGAACGGTGCGTGATCGCTTCCACCGCTTGGGACTTGCATTTCCGGCCTACCGCGCCGCTTTGGGTCCGGGAAGTATTTGAGCCTAAAAAGGGCTTCATAGCTTGAATTCTCACCTCCCAAAGCTTTTAAGGTAAGCAAAATTGTTACCAAGTATCAAAAACCGTTTTTCTGCCTCTTTCAACCTCAGATTTCAACGGGTTCTTGACAGTTTTTGACACCGAAATCGAGACGTCATAGAGCGAGGGGACGGTGTTGAGAATCCTGAACAACGGCTTTCTCCCGAAGCGATTCTCTGGCTTACAAGGTCCGATTCCCAGTCATACAGTCCATGTTGATGTAGACAACCGCTCGCTTCTGCAGAATGTCGACGTACTCCTCGACGAATTCCGTCGACCCGACGAGGCCGTACTCTTCGGCGTCCCACGACATGAAGATGATGCTCCGGGCTACATGAGAATATGAGCTCGAGGCGGAATTTGGTTACAAACCTGGCCTCCACCCTGTTTGGTTCATCGTAGCTACCATAGATCTGGCTACTTCACTGAGGATGGCCGTCCCGCTGTTCGGGTCGATGGAGCCGTAGACCTAGAGCTTGTAGGTTGTAGTTCATCTTTTTCGTTACCCAAGCATCAAAATGGTTGCCCAGGATTACATAGCGATCGGGCTCGTCGCGGCCTCGGATGTAGCCAATGACGTTGCGGATGTTTCTGAAAAAATATATAGATCTTCGTCTGAAAACGCAAAAAACTTCGTCTGCAATTCCGATTTCACATCAATGGTTACGGTAGCTCCATCCTTGAGGCCAGGGCCGGTACGGTAGGTGACGTTAAGGCCTCCCTAAAAATATCGCGATTTTGAGGAGAAGGTCATCAAGCCTATTTTGATAAATTCCGAAGGTCAGGTCCCGGATTTTCTCAGCGACTAGAGGCTTCCTAGTTCCTTTAAAATCCCAAGGGCCGACCTGCCACTGCTTTGGCACCGGGCGTCCATCCATTCGAGACATAATCTGCCAAGCTGTCGTGTAACTGATTGGTAGAATAGGAATGGTTGGTAGGACACGATCTTTCTTCGCCTGGAAATCAAGAGCATGATCTTTTTATGTTGTCTCTATCCCTTTAAAACAGAGCAGAGGTTAGGTTACCTGCTCGATCGTGCGATACTTGTAAATATCCGGCTTGCTGGGGTACAGTGGTGTCAACGGGTCTCCATCACCATGCATCGTCGAACCACGCTGTACTCCCTCGTTCGGCATCCACACCGTGTTTGGGTAAACGTGGGCTAAACCGGAAGCTGGTGCTGCAAGCCGGAAACGCTTACCAGAATCCGTGCCATCTGACGCCACGTCATCTGGATCTGAGTAGAGAATTGCTCCAATTGCACCGTAATCCTGCGCAATCTTCACTTTGTCGCCTCGGAAACCATCGCCATATCGCAGAAGTGCGATTTTGCCCTGAACTTTGCGTTTAAGAAATCCAGAAGACGTCAAGCTACCGTAACATCGACCCCTAGCTTGCGCAGATTTTCAAAATCCTCCTGGTGACCTCGGTTGCAGAAGACGACATCCCCGGTGACGATACCTGGGGCTGCCCAAGCTACCCATTGATGGCCAGCGTCTACAAACACGACAGTTAGAGAGAGAGAGAGAGAGAGAGAGAGAGATTGAGAGCGAGAGAGACCTACATTTTGCTCCCTGTTCATCCGGAATTATCACGGGGCTAATTCCCTTCGACTCGAAGACCGTCTCTGTCCCTTTTTTGATGAAAACCTAAAAACGCTTGTTTTCAGGTTTTCTTCGATTTTCACGTACCTTATTGGGCTTATCCCAATCCGGATACGAGAGTAGCACCTCGTAGGGTACAAGTCGTACGTCTAAAATGCCATGCTACTACCAGTTTGATGTTTTAATCATTCCATTTTTGGGTATTCCAAAAACTTTCTGACCCTCGAGCCCGATAGTCTTCCAAAGATCGTGGATCGCGTGTGCCACCCGTTTGTTATTCTCGGATCCGGCGACGTGGGGCTCTTTCGTGAAGACGCGTAAATATTCCTGAATTTTTCATGATAGCGTACCGGGAATGGTGTGCCTTTTCGTACCTTGATGTTCTCGACGTTGATGTTTTCGGAGATTGTGCGGGCGGCAAAGGCGTGCACATCTGAATTCATCGGTTTAGAGGCGTGGTGTCAGGTTAAAAAAATACGAAACTCATCGAAATCTGAACCGGATAATTTAGTACTAATAACAGCTTTTTTACGTTTAAAATCGTTTCGTAATCCAAACAGACGTTTCCGATTTTTTGAGGGATTGATGATCCAGGCGTACTAAGTTTCAGCGTGTCCTACCCTCAATGGTCTCCATTTTCGGGGCTATTGCCGGGTGGTCAGAGTGATATTTTCCGAGCAGCGCCACGAACACCGTCATCAGCAGCCCGACGGCCATCGCCAAGTAGACGCTCAGCATCCGGCGGCCGCATAGTGATTGCGCAGCTGAATCTGAGGTTTCGGCTGTTTCGAGCTGGGTTTTTGGGTAATTTGGATGCCTAAGTCTAAGCAAAAACAGATGCCAGAAGCCGAAGCAAAAACCTAAGCCTAATCAGAAGCCTAAGCCCAAGTCTAGCCCTCCTTGATAATCTCATCCTCCCTATACCCGTTCACCAACACGGAATTCTCCAGTTTGATTGGATGTAATCTCGCCCCAACAACTTGGCCCTGGGCCCTTGTCCAGGACCAACTGACACCCAATCGGACATGCCTCCAAACCACCACCACCTCTCTGATCACCGGGTCAGCCGGCCGCACAGAAAAAAACGGCAAAAACATGAATATTGCTGACAAGTCGATTGATGCCCACCAGCACACAGCACAACCCACCCCAAAAGCCCCCAACAGGTCCCCGGGCCGGAGGAATGGAAGCAAAAAAATGAGGATCGCATGGGATTGGAGGTGGCTGGGTGGGTAAATAGGAATTTTTAAGGGCTTTGAGGACCAGGAAACTGGATACAATTTTTATTCAGATCAAAACTAACGTTAGAACTGTTACGGTTATCAAGAAAAATGGCGAAAAACGAGCCTAAGCCTAAGCCAAACCTAAGCAAAGGCTAAGCCTAAGCTTAAGC